TAAATGTCAGTTTTACTCTCTAGACTGTGTACCTATAAGCAAAACAAATTATATAAACTACATTTCCCTATCTACTGTCATTCATTTGTGGATTTCCACAGACAGACTCCTACCGTCTCTGTTCTGGGGGCGCTGATCAGACTGACCCACATTTGCAGAGAATCTGTCAATCATGTACTATTGCTAGGTGAATTTAATGGCCAATCAGCGTCTCGGAACTTTATGGTCTTGGGGCGCTGAAAATACTGCGCTTTAACAGGCTTCTGCACCCAAGCGCAGGTGCAGACAATTAGAGGGAAGATGGCGAATGTAACGACCGAGATGCAGCTTCCACCAAATTCGGTGAGATCCTTATTTATCTACCCGTTTGCCAGAAGAACATCCCTGTTGTAGGATATGAACATTTCCTGTCATGGTTATTGTGACTGTGACGAATCCACCTCGTCGCTTAAAACAACCTCTCTAACTTTGCGCGCCACACACACATTCCTGTTATACTGTGTTTGTGAGGACCAATACACTCGCGCTGAGCCCAGTAGCTCCATGAACTTAAAACACACAAGCTGTTCCTGGTTACCTGCTGGCATATTGAGGGTGCACACTTAATATTTCAGTGGGGTTAGCCGTGTGTGTGTGTGTGTGTGTGTGTGTGTGTGTGTGTGTGTGTGTGTGTGTGTGTGTGTGTGTGTGTGTGTGTGGGGGGGGGGGGGTGGGGGGGGGGGGGGGGGGTGTGGGTGTGTACGTGTTTATGCTACGGGGACTTGTCATCTTCAGTCTGGCTGCGTCTTTGCTGGGTTCAAACCCAGTTTGGTGTAATTGAATAAGTCAATGAATCTGTGTAAAAGAATTAAGTTGTAAAAATTATTTGTTTTTGTACATCAATTGTTTGTGGAGGTAATATATGGACAAAACTGATTAATGAGAAGAAATCAGAAATAAGAGAGCCTGAGGGTAGGGGCTTAAACTATTTAATGAGGGCTGTGGGAAGAAAAGCGGCAATTTTTGTTTTCTGTTTCTTTGTTACATTGCTGGTAACTGGAGGGAGGCTGAGGCCCAGAGTATCTTGTATGTTTAGTTTCTTTTGCACCCTGTTTTGAGTTTTTGAGCTCAATAAATCACCAACACCGGTAACTGAGACTGGATTCTTGGAGGCCAAAGAACCCCGTCACAGTGACCCAAATCATCACTGTTACTGTTATTATATAGTAAATTAAATCATTGCTGTTAAATTGTATGTATTGTCCAATTGTTTATTTGAATTCTTATTCCGGATTAGTTGGAGACATACACTAGGCTATATCAGCCCCACCAAAAATATTTTTCACCAGCCGCCACTGGGTTCATCCTATCAAGATGAAATATGGACACTGGTTCCCAATGTCCAAAAAGTATGATCATGACATATGGCACAACACCGACACTGTAGCATGGCATATACAATTCACGTTTGCAGTTTGAAGAACACCTGCTTGCTTCTGATTGTCATGATGGGTTTCAGAAAAGCCCAGAATGCAGAACACCACGGAAACGGATGAAAAGTTTAACAAGTTTATTGATCACAAGCACATGGAATAAACACTGGAACTGGTTCAGGCTTGGGGACTGGTTCACTGGAGTCTGTGAAGATGACAGTTCAGTTAGCTTGGAAACAGATGAGTTTGAGTCTGAGAGTTTCAGGTTTATACCTTGAGAAGTCCGGGTTTGGCTTTGAGAGAGGAACTGTTGGGTCCAGAGACTGTTTAGTTCAGCAGAGTCCAATAACCGCTTCAGCGTCTTACTTCTAACGTGAGGGCAGACCTTGGCTTTGGGTTTCCAGCTCTTAGTCCAGAGCTGCATGGAATCCAAGGAACAGTCTTCAGGTTAGGCTCAGAGGGCAGGCTCGGCAGTTTAAGCTCATCCAGAGCTCACACGGGAAAAACTGGATTCCTGAAAGCAGAGACAAAAAGGATTAGAATCCTATCAGGACTCAAGAGCAACAAAGGTTCTCAGAAAATGCTAGGCTCAGGTGCTAACCAAACTGGATTTAACACTGCGGCGTCGAGGCAAGGTCTGAAGGCAGGTTATATACTGTGGATCCTCTGATGATGAGATGCGCCTCAGGTGTGTCGAAGGCTCAGCTCAGGAGGATCCATGGCGGACTCTGCTGGAGAAAGGTGGAACTTCTCCAGCTCCCAACACTGATGATTTCCTTAAGCTAACCAGTGTTTGCATAATATGACTCATCCAATCACACTAGTTTTCACTAGATGTGGATGGAGCCAATGAGCCATTGGATGGTGCACATCATGTGAAATAAATATATATAAACATGAAACCAGGATTAACCAATTAAAAATCAGTGGGGTCTGAATAAAGAAAATCATCACCCAGTAAAGGTCCCGAGGCGTTTTTAATGATCTGTCACTTTAAACAGAATTTAACACTAAAATATAATGAGGTTATTATGCATCCAGCTTATACATTGAATTTTTAAATAAAAAATATTAAAAACAAAATAGAAAATGTTTCCATGTTAAATTCTAAAGTCTTTTTTGAAGTAGAGAACAACAATAGTTTGGTTTATAGACAATTTCCTGATTCACATATTTTATAAAACACCTGAACTGACCGTTTTTTTTTTCTTTTTAAGTGGCCTAATGAGAGAAGTGGGCTTTATGCTGCCCTGCAAGGCTTTAAACCTGGGTTTGAATGGAGACAAAGCCATTCTAAAGCACATATCAAGGTGCTCTTTTTCAGCGTGGATCCTTATATATTTTGGCTTCTGTTCATGTTGGAGAATCCTGCTTCACAGCAGCAGATTGAGTCAAACATACTCTAAATGTTCCGGCTCCGCTCCTATCCAGGCAGGTCAAGATCTGCTAGTGCAATCGGCATGTGGTAATTTATAAATGTTTTAAATCAGGTTGGGTCCGTTTTAGCCAGCAGGTGGGTCCAGATCCGAACAATGGTCCGCTAATCCATCACCTCTGCTTTAAACCGAAGCCAAGAGTAATGAGTAACGTTTGTTTTGAAAATGTAAGGAATAGAAAGTACAGATACTTGTGTGAAAATGTAATGAGTAGAAGTCAGAAGTAGGAGGAAAAATAAGTAAAGTGTAGAGACCTAAAAAGTGTACTTAAGTATAGTAACAAAGTATTTGTATTTCCTCACTTGACACCTCTGATAACGGGAACCCCTTATTCTTACTTGCTGTAATAGACAAAACTGGAAAATGCATCCTTGCCCAGCTAAGAATAAGAGGTGTCAGAAATGTAATAGAACTGGACATTTTGAAGTAGTCTACAAAACAAAAATACTAATGCAAGCCGGGCAAATACGGGATCAAGCTTTGGGTGGCGTGCAATGCCCGTTCCTGCGACGCCTAGAGGATGAGCGTGTACAAGGGTCGGGGCGCAAAGCTCCCACTGTGCACCCCAAGAGGGACCTGGGGATGCTGTAAGCGTCCTGTAGGCACGGCCTCACCCTAGTGGGCACCGTACACTGGAACAAGCCCGAGCTGCGACGCAACCTGACGGCACCCCGTTGCCTGGATCTCCTCTCCACCCGCTGCGCCTACAGGAGCTGCACGGTCCTCGTCTCCTACATACCCGGGCTGCAGGAACATGCTGCTGCTGAGCTTGTTGCACCGCAACAGTGTGGATACCTCCCGTTGAGACTGCAAGCTGCTGCACAATAACGCCAACAAGGGGGGCATCAACAACCTCGACAAGCTCCTGGCCGTCTACAGCTGCCGGAGGAAGATGCGCCACTTGACCACGGTCCTGTTTCACAACGGCCTCATCATCTGGCGGGAGACCCAACCGGAGTAGATGCCTTGCACATTGCACAAGAGAAGGCTGTTCCTGGAGGGCCTCGGGGGGCCCTGGTCTCCCCGCTGGTGCAGCGCAGGGCTCGCATGCCCCGCTCCCGGAATACGGTCGAGGGGGTCAGAGTTTGGTACACCGAGAGGCCCTCCTTAAAAAGAAGAGTTGTCGCCTCTGCCCGTGCAGCAGGGATTGCAAAACCGCCTCTGTATGCTGTTGCGTGTGCAGGGAGCACGTCCCCACTCCCCCAGTTGCTGCGACATAAATGTTGCGCTCATCTACATTTCCATGCGTGAGGCCTTGTCCCCGGAAGGGTCCATGACTACTTCCTCCACAAGACCCCCAACCACCCTGCCCCCCTCCCACCGGACCTCCACCCCCCCATCCCCACCAGGTCTTCTTATACATATGTCAATGAACTTCTAGGAGCAGCAGCAAAATAAAAAGGACCCGTTCATGGCTTGGCTTGGTTTGTTGGTTTTGAGCTAAGAACTTTAACACCTCACTGCTGGCTATTTGGAGTGACTACAGAAGAGGATCTCCATAGCCCAACCTCTGTGGCCACTATTGAGAAAGAACTTTAATTTACTAAGTGAAAAAGGCTCATTATGAACTGCAATGCCAGAAGTCTGGTCTTCCTTCATGAACACATTGATTGGAGAGCTATCCTGTAGAAAGAGGTTCTACAAGTTGGATGAATCTTTATGGTTTTCTTTGGCTATTCTTTTAGAATTATAATTAGGAGGTCAGGCATTGATGCAGGCCAAAAAGACCTGAGTTGCGGTTTCCGCAGGTATCTCAGGGACTTTCCAAGAATACTTTCATCACAGAGTCAGATACTTTTTGGACCTGGTGATTTAAACCTGTTTAATGTAGCTCCCTACACAAGCTAATCTGAGGTCCACAGGAAGCTTGGAGCCATGTACACTTGAAATAAGCAATTTAGAATAGTGACTCAATAGGCTTGGTATTAAATAAAATAAACTAAATAAACTTTGGATGACACACAAAGGATAAGAACAAAAAAGTTTTTCTTTTCTTTGTCAGAAAACAGAGGAGGAGGAGGAGGAGGAGGAGGAGGAGGAGGAGGAGGAGGAGGAGGAGGAGGAGGAGGAGGAGGAGGAGGAGGACTTGTTTCTTCCTTTGTCTATAAAGTTCAGACAAGTTTGGGAAAGAGATTCAGATGGTTGGGGGGCCAGCCGAGCTGTTTGTTCCTGTGAGGTAGAGGACGAACTTATCTTAACAACAACTTGAGGTGTTAGAGAAGCTCTCTTGCTCTATAAATGATGGTAGAATAATTTTTACAGAATGACGGTAAATTCTACTCTATCTTCTCTGTCTTATTTCATCCTTGAAGCGTACATTGACCTGGGAACGCTGCAATATTTTTACTTTGCGATCACTCTCACAGTATATACTGCCATCGTTGTTGTCAACATCCTGCTTATCGTGTTGATCTGTCTGAACAGGACCTTACGTGAACCCATGTACATGTTTCTGTGCAGCCTTTTTATGAATGAAGTGTATGGCAGCTTGTCACTGTTTCCCTTCCTGCTGGTTCAGATCCTCTCTGATGTCCATGCTGTTGCTGCTCCTTTCTGCTTCCTGCAGATATTCTGCTTTTATTCCTATGTAAACATTGAGTTCTGTAATTTAGCCATCATGTCCTATGATAGATATTTTGGGATCTGCTGTCCTTTAAAGTACAACTCTGTGATGACCTTTAGCAGAGCGGGTCTGTTTGTTGTCTTGATTTGGTTGTACTCATCAGTCAGGTGTATCATCAACATTTGTCTGAGCCTCCGTCTAACACTTTGTGGGAATGTCCTCAGCAGTCTTTTTTGTCATAACTACCTGATAGTGAAGCTGGCATGTGTGGACACAGAACTGAACAACATTTTTGGACTTTTTTCCACAGCTCTTAGTGTGCTGGTCCCCCTGCTGCCCATTATTTACTCCTATGCTAAAATCTTAAGTATCTGTTTCTCTGCTTCCTCCAAGATGAGACAGAAAGCTGCCAGCACGTGCATGCCTCACCTTGCTTCCCTCTTAAACTTTGCCTTCGGCTGCCTGTTTGAAATCCTTCAGACCAGATTCGACATGACCAGTGTTCCGGATGCGCTGCGGTTCTTTCTGTCTCTTTACTTTGGGATCCTGCAGCCTCTCTTAAATCCCATCATCTTTGGGATACGGATGTCAAAAATACGTAACATCTTTAAAGATTTCCTTCATTAAAAAAAACTGCTGATATTTTGAAATGTTGAAAATGATGCTGTTTGGTCATTTAGAGAAGGGAAAAGTTGGGGAAAGGAACATCTTTTATTTCCAATCTCAGATGGAGATGAATGAACTGAAGGAGGGACAGTTTGTGTAAAACAAACAATAAAACAACAATAAAAACCAACAAAGCAGCCGTCAGAGAGATGCTGTCAAAATTTTTTGTTGGACGACAGAAATAAAGACTATATATTTCTGAGTTCAAGCCCCACTCCCACAGACTGCCACTCTGGTTCCCTGAGCAAGACCCTTAACCCCTGATGCTCTCCAGGCACCCCACGATGGCAGCCCACTGCTCCCCAATGGGATGGGTTAAAGGCAGAAGTAAATTTCTCCAATGTGAGATCAATAAAGTTCAATTATATTATTATTATATATTATAGTCTATTTACCAGTACAACTATTTTACTATTTTCTTTGTAAAATTAATATATTGCAGTGATATGCTTCCTTCCGGTGAACCAGCGGTGTGGTCAACAGCTGGCTCACTAAACAGAAATTTAAAAGGAAACTTTAAAATTCTACAAAATTATTCCTCTCAGTTGAACATTTTCTAAAATCAGAGATTGCTACTTTTAACAACTGTAAAGTATTTTTTCTTCTGCTGTAAATTTGCCTTCTCTGTACAGTTTCTTTGTTTAATAATTTTACCCTTCTGCTTCCTTTGCTTTTCCCTTTGCTGCCTGTAAACCTGAATGTCCTCTTTATGGGACAAAAAAAAGGATAAGGAGTGTTTTTATTGTAATGATTGATATACAAGTTCTGTATAAATGTATAGAAACAACTATTGAATTGTAAGATATTCAGGTTTGACAAAAAATAAAACAAAGGAAGACAAGATGTGTTTATGTTCTGTATTAATTCTTTGCCTCATTAAAATAATATCATATGGTGTATGAGAGTCAGAAAGTCTGTGTAGCTTCTCAGATCTCAGCATGTAAGAGGAGAGAATTTAAAGGTTAATTCAAACATAAAATATTACAAGGATCTCTTTCATTTTTTAAACTATTTATTCCTCACCCGTCTACCAATATAGAAAGGTCACCATCAAAGTGTTTTCATTATTTATTCATTTTAACTTAGCGTTTCTTTCTTTCTTTCTTTCTTTCTTTCTTTCTTTCTTTCTTTCTTTCTTTCTTTCTTTCTTTCTTTCTTTCTTTCTTTCTTTCTTTCTTTCTTTCTTTCTTTCTTTCTTTCTTTCTTTCTTTCTTTCTTTCTTTCTTTTATTTATTTATATAAAATTTATATTGAGAGCTTTATAGATAAAGTTTGATTTTAGGAATTGTCTGTCTGTCCATCTGTCTCTTTTTCTCCCTGTCCTATTTCTACTAGTGCAAGGCCCGGCACATCCCTCCTTCTTCATTAACTACCTGCTCGCGTTCAACAAATTGTTACATCCCCCTGGAACCAAGTGCTGCTCCTAATAACAATACAGAAATTTCTTGTTCAATTAGTTCAGTTCATTTATATAGTGCTGATTCCCACAGGGGAGCTGCCAGGAATTTGGGGCCCCATGAAAGACATTGATAATGATGCAAGCGTTACAACTGCTAGAAAGATGCACTGAAGAGTATCAATTTGCAATGCAATTTTAACGAAGAATTATCCTTACACGAAAGTTAAACATATATTAACTCTCAAAATAATAACAGCTTATTTAGAACAAAAATAGATCGATCTATGTATTATCTAAGAAAACAGGTTTTGGATTTTGAAAATAGATTCATATTTGGTTTCTGTATAACTTTAAACAAAGTACAGATTATGTTTTGCTGGCCCTGAAAATTGATTTCTAATTCATATATACATATAATGACAATAGAATATATGCATTTATGGTGTAGCTGTTTCAGGCTGCTCATGACAATGATCAAGATTTGTAGATACCTTTTAATGGCTATAATTCAATCGGAATATAAAAATCTAATTGTATTAATAGTGATTTTAATACAGGCTGCTAGAGGCTACCCAATACGTTCCTTCAGCTGTCCAGGATGCAGTACCAACAACTGCGGGACTTTTAATTTTATAGTGATCATTATGTAGAAAAAAATTTGTTTGAATTTTTACATATAAAAAAGTTTCATTTTAAGTTTTTGAGCTGGTAAAAAGAGAGAAACTCCCACAGACTCTGTAATGATGCTAACTAACCTGTCCCAGGACACAATGTGGCTCACTGATGCTGGAAGGGGGCGGGGGTGTTGAAGTCATGGGGCTGCTGCTGCTGGATCATCTGTTTACATGATGAAGGGACAATGATAATTATTTAATGTAAATATCCTTCTTAACGTTTACTAGCGCTTAGGGATTGTTAACCCTCTGAAAACTAAGGCTTATTCCTGCTGCCTTTGCTGGATTGTAAATGTTAGTTTTTAGCTCTGTGAGCTTTCTACTTAGCTTCTGCCTTAGTTACAGACACATAATAGGCTCATTTTGTAAAAATTTTTTCTTGAAAAATAAAAATAAAACAAAATAAGAAAGACCTTGCAATATTTTTTGTTTAAGTCAAAAGCAGTACCAGGCCAGCCGGCATCATCAACGTCATTCTGCTCAAACCTTGGGAGGATTAACTAAGAAGCCGTAGCCAGCAGATAGCTAGCTAATTTTTCTCAACAGGGTAATAATAAAAAAGATGACATGTGTTGTGAATTTGGCGCTATATAAATAAACTGAAAACTGAATTAATAATTTAATTTGAACAAATCAAGTAACAACATTTCTTGAGAAAGTAGGTAATTGTATTGGACCAATTTCTCCGTCTCTGTCTTTCTCCTTTCTTTCTGTTGCTTTTGGAAAACCAGACTTTAATTTTTTGAGGCACTGCATTCTTCAACCGTAGACTGTTTTTACACACTGCTGCTTATTTACACATTTTCTTGTTCATTTGTTTTAATTGTTGTCTCTGTGTCAAATTATGTGCATGTGGTACTAAATCCCCAGTATGAACAAACTGCTGCTGTCAGGGTGCATACGGGGGGATCTGATGCACCGTGCAGGGCCTGAGGACCAAATCATTTCATGCAATTTGACAAGGAGGTGTTGAGTTGGTCATTATTTTCGAGTTTTGTTTTGCTGTTTAATACTGAAAGATCAGGGAGAATACGATGATAATTAATTTTACTGCGGGATTTTCTTTTTATATTTGAAATATCTAGTGGGAGTGTGGGACATATTTTCTTCTTCTTTTGCCCCCCTGGTCTTGGTACCATTGTTTATGAACAGATAATTAGTTTTCATCATGACAGTTTACTCTGTGTAACACTGAACAGGCTGTAGACAGAACAGACCTAGACAGTTTCTGAAATCCGCAAGTTCAATAGAAATACAAAGGTTGCTATACTGGGAATTAGTTACAGAGGGCAGAAGGTTAGGGCAGATTGTAAAGGCAAAAAAGTTAATATGGATCAGGAGAGATAAGCAAACGTTATATTTATTTATCACAGGTTTTCTGTTATCTACGAAGCGTTAACCAAGCGTGAATTTAGTTTTTAATTCATGATGGTACTATAAAAGAAAAATATTGGCTCATATAGTTTTCTTACACTCTCCGTGCATCTTAAAATATTAGCTTTTTTGGGGATACAGACCAGTACAACCTACCGGTACATAAAACAGCATCATTATACTTTTGTATTTTACAAAAAGAGATTTCATGATCTTTTAAGAATAAGTTTCTATGCTTCATGGAGGAGAGTCTCTTTGTCTCTGCAGTCATTAAGGAATCTTCCATCTAATTAAAGATAAATAACCACTGCTCAAAAAAGCACTAATGTGCAAATATTTGCATAGCTTTATTAGGAAGTTCCCCATAAAAAATTAAATTAATGTCTTTTATTTGGAAAATCTAGATTATTCAATAGGTTATTTTCCTCTTGGTTTATCAGTATAGATGTACCCTAAGTTGTTTTTTACCTAAGTACACTTTGTCGCTGCTTGGTCACCCCATTAAAATGTTCTTGAACTGCCACTGGTCATGATTAGTCCCTCTTTTGTTTCTGATCTGATCTGGTTGAATTTTCTCTGTAAAGTGCCATGAGTTGACATGTATTGTGAATTGGCGCTATATAAAAAAACTGAATTGAATTGACACCATCCTGGAGGGAGGCACTAGTTTGGATGTTGCCGACAACAACTGCCTTTTCAGATGATAGAGTCGGGCCTATATTTTTGTCTTTAGTCCAGTTTCTCTCCAAGGGCTCAGCTTTTATTGTGTAAGTGCACTCTTTTATCCATTTGATCCCATTGAAATAAGCTTATAGCTTATCTGACTATATGTTTCTTTCCTAGACAGACCCCCCTGTGGAGCTAATTTACAGTAACCTTCTCTAAGACAGGAAGTATTTGCAGATGACGGCTTACAGTATATGTTCCATTTGTGTCAGTTTTTATCTCCTTGAACTCTGTTGGCCTTGACAAAAGGTCACTCACAGTGAGCCTGGTTCTGCTGAAGATTTTCTCAAGTTAAAAGGAGATTTTTTTGCTCTACACTCACTGCATGCATGTTCAGTGTGAAGGATTGATGCAAAGTCAATGATACAATGCAGGCAGAATTTTGTTGTCTGTCGACATGCTCTTCAAAGAGGAGCAAATCCTGCGAAATGCTAGGCTCACAATAAACACAGGGAAGTGCTGTGTAGTTTTGCTGCAGACAAGCTGCAGAAAATCACTCACACTTAATGGGGCAACCCTGAGGTGAGTTCCAGCTCCAGAGTAATAAGAGTTAATTTGAGGTTCACACTTTTCATGCGCTGTCAGGCAGAACTCGTCATCAGTGCACATATATATCACTTTTCATTGTTCGATAGCCTCTCTGTTTCTCTTTTGGTCTTTCTATTCTTGCTACCATTCTTCTTCTTGTAGTGCTTTATGGCAGTTGGCAAACTAGTTAAAGTGCTTTACCACCAACAACTGATAAGGGGTCAAACAAGGAAACAGGAAACAAGACTCACCCCAAGATAAAAAATAAATAAACAAAAATAAGTAAATAAGTTTTAATTTTTCCAAACTGTTTCATTTAACTCAACATAATAAATATTAAATACTTAATCAAATTCATCCTCATAATATCTAATTTTGTTTATGTTACCGTCACTCTGCCAGTTTCTGATGGTCCTACTCGTTTTTCCATCATGCTTTCAATCGTTTCCCAGTTTAAATCTCTAACTTCAAGGTACCTTTTTGCAGCTTTCACTATTATTTTGATTCTTTCAGTTTTCTTTGTAGTCTGAGCACTACAATTGATAACTTCTACTATGAAAAGTACAAAATCATTGTTTTTTACAATTAAGAAATTTTGGGACACAGGTTTTGTATTTGTTATTTGTACCACTGTTGATATGAGTCTTTGTGACTGGGATGGGACTCTTTTTGCAGCTTCAGCATAAGTTATTCCGAGCTCTTATTTCGCTTTTCTGATCTCTTCAGATCATTTGCTCAGTTCACATCCACGATATTCAATTCAATTCAGTTTATTTATATAGCGCCAAATTCACAACACATGTCATCTCAAGGCACTTTACAGGTAAACCAGATCATACAGTCAAATTGATACAAAGTTTTCTATCTAAGGAAAACCAGTTGATTGCATTGACTCATTGACTCAAATGCAATCCCTCACACTAAGCATGCTTGTAGCGACAGTGGAGAGGAAAAACTCCCTTTGAACAGGAAGAAACCTCCAGCAGAACCAGGCTCAGTGTGAGCGGCCATTTGCTGAGGCTGACTGGGGTTCAAGGAGACAGAAGCAGAGATACAAAAAGCAGCTGTAAAAGTCGGCCCCGTCCAGGAAACACACAGCCAAGCAGACAAGCTCCGAGCCAGCTCCAATGCCAGAGGACGAAGAGAGCACATCCACCCAGTCACGGTCAGAGAAACAGGACCACACTGGAAAACAGGCCGATCTCCAACATCTATAAACAAAGGTGTTGATGGCAGCAGCACAGCTGATATTTCTTTCCAGAATGACGTCACAGCCAAACAGGAACAGACGAGGCAAAGCTACTCTGAGGAAAAGCAGAGAGAGCAGAACGCTAGAGATGATATGCAGCAGTTACAGCATTTAATTTTGACTTCTTTCCCACATTTTACATATTCATGCTGTCCAGCACACCTTCCACATCGCTGTTTGCCTTTACATATAGCTGCTATATGACTGAATTTTTTTGCATTTGAAACATCTCAGAGGTGGAGGATTGTATATTTTCACATTGTAGCTCATATATCCAATGAAAACCTTACTCGGCTCTTCTTGGAATTTGATCAACACTGATAAGCTATCACGCCTTTTTCCATTTCTTGTTGTTTTTAACCGTTTCAGCTGTTTTACTTTTGCAGCACTAATATTTTCAAGCATTTCTTTGTCAATAATCTTAAGATGTACTCCTCGAAGCACTCCCCTCCCTGCTAATCACGTTCTTATCCACCAAGCTGCACTGAAGTCTTTTCCCCTCAATCTTGTTAATGCGTATAGCTTTACCTTGTTCAGCACTGTCTCTGCAGTGATGATTAACAAGTCTCCACTATACAGTATTATGGCACTTCAGACTTATCCTGTGAGTTTGCTTATCAATTTTGTTAACTGCACCGGATTCCAATCTGCAAAAAAGTCTAGCTGATTAACTAGTTTTAATATTACTTTTCTAATCATTTGGTTTTTCTGTGGAATTTCTAAATCGTTTATCACTTGATTGTTCTTTACTCGACTCCCCTTTAATTGGATGCTGCTGTTTCCGCTTTTTCTAATTTTTTGATTTCACTGTATTTTAATCTTCTTCGTTTTCATTATTTCCCTCTCCCTGCTTCCTGTTTCCTCGCTACTCCTAACCCAGGACATTTCTCCACAAGTGACCTAGAAACAAGCATCCTCTCACTCCTCTCACCTTCTCAGACACGCACATCAACCGAGGAGCTCGCTCTTCTTGCTACCATATGTTGGAGGGTTGATTTTATTCAGAAATTCTCTGGAACTTTTCTTTTAGGTGCCGCCTACATTACCTGTTTGGTGTGTGGTGTGTCCACTGCAGCATTTGGCAAGACTCCGTTTATGCTGAAATACTTTGTTGCACCTTGGCTGATGTGAGTGTTCACATTGATTTGAATGATTTGGATTCATGCTGAATCTGAACTGCAATTGAACATGGATCTCGCAGATACATAAAGCATAAGTCAGGCTTTTGATAGAAAACTTCATCAAATCTGTCTGTATGATCTGATTGAATTGTTTCTGTAAAGTACCTTGAGATGACAAATGTTTCTAAAAATTACTAATGATCACATTTCAAAATGTCTATTATAAACTAAATGGAAAAGAAAAGTTTATAAAGTTTTTGTCTGAGCTTTAAGTTTTCAATTCTATATCTCTGTTTGTTATAAAGCAGTCATCAACCCCATGTTCAGGTTAACCTTGCCTGGAAAGAAGGTATTGGCTGGATTGGTCGAGGGTCAATTGTGGACTCAAGTGGTTTCTTGTTTGAAAGAAAAAAAAACATCTGATATCAAGTCAGGTTGCAGTTCCCTGCTGTTAAGGTGTCTCTCTCTCTCTCTCTCTCTCTCTCTCTCTCTCTCTCTCTCTCTCTCTAGATCTTCTGTGGTTTCTTCAAGCTGCAGGTATAAGTGGAGCTGAGTTTCAATCTTAGCTTCAGTCTGAGTGACGCTGAGGAGACAGACGGTGAACAGTTGGATCGGACAGAATTTCCAATCTGTCTCTGTTCTGTGACTCAGCATCGCATCATTCTCCACACTAAACGATGGTTGGAAGGCTAGAGCTTGCTCTCCCTTGTTTGCTCAAATAACGTGAGGTTTCCTAAAGCTGTACGGTTGAAATGTGAAATTTTCTTTGGTTGTGTTTAAACTGATGAGCTATGAAGCAGGATGATGATAAACTCCACAGAAGTTTTGTTTTTCACTCTAACTGCCTACTTTCACACTGATGTTCTGAATTATTTATATTTTGCGGTTGTTTTGACTCTGTATGTTCTGATTGTTGGTTCCAATGTCCTGCTGATCGTGGTGATCTGTGTGAACAGAAGCTTACATGAACCCATGTACCTGTTTCTTTGCAGCCTGTTAGTGAATGAGCTGTACGGCAGCTCCAGCTTGTTTCCCTTCCTCCTGGTTCAGATTCTCTCTGATGTTCACACAGTTGCTGCTCCGCTCTGTTTCCTGCAGATCTATTGTGTCTATACCTACGCTCACATTGAGTTCTGTAATCTGGCAATTATGTCCTATGACAGATACCTGGCCATCTGTCGTCCTCTGGAGTATCACTCACTCATGACACCTTCTAAGATCACCAAGCTGGTAGCTCTGACCTGGTTGTTTCCTCTAATTGAATCTGTTGGGGCGATGTTTCTAACAGTCTCTCTCCAGCTTTGTGGAAACATCATTGACAAGGTGTACTGTGACAATTACTCCATCGTTAAGCTGGCCTGCTCTGATACGACAGCAAATAATTTACTGGGAATAGTTTATGTATTCACTGTAATCCTGGGTATAATCCTTTTAATTCTCTACACATATGCTAAGATCCTGAAAGTATGTTTTTCTGGATCCAAACAGACTCGGCAGAAGGCCGTCACCACCTGCACGCCACACCTGGCTTCTCTGATAAACTTCTCCTTTGGCTGTTTTTTTGACGTCATTCAAAGCAGGTTTGATATGAGCCGAGTCCCCCTCGTGCTGCGAGTTCTTTTATCTTTATATTTCCTCACTTGTCAGCCACTGTTTAACCCTCTGCTTTATGGGCTGAACATGTCAAAGATACGGAGCCTCAGTAAACGTTTGATTTTAGGGAAAAGTTGAGCTTCATGATGGGATGGAACATTTCATCCAGTGTTTTCTTAAAGCAAGTTTTACATTCTGTCTGTCATTTTGATGCAATAAACTCTCCATGGATATCTCTCTATTTCACTTAGATTCTTGTTTTTCTGCTGTTTCTATCGTGACCTGCAGACTCTAAGTAAGACTAGTGAGACTACTGCAGACTAGTGAGCAGACTGATTTTACAATGACAGCCAACATAAATATGCAACCATTATATCTGTTCTGCCTTTGTTCTGCAGGTAATTAACATGCTTAGGTGCAGAAGTGCAGGGCATCCAGCTCACCTTTATCAAAAAATGTTTGCTAAAATAATCTGCATTTTATATCAAACTCAAACAGTAGCTGTTTAATTTTTATAGAAGCTGGTTTCTAGCTGAATGTGATGGAAATACATTTCTGGATGATTGATGGCACAGCTCAGATGAAGGTAATGAGGAGGAGGATGCAGTGGGAACCAAACGGAACCTTCAGGGGAACATCCTACGGGATATCTGCAGAACACGAGTGCTTATTAGAAAAGCTGGTGGCAAACAGGTCGCTGGATGAACCAGAAAGCTCTAGGCAGGAACATATTCATTTAACCTATAGTGTTTAACAACTGCAGGCCTCTACAGCTCTCTCTGTCTTAGTTACTGGTGCTTCTGGTGCTTTTCATGGGGATTAAAACCAAAACCAATTCATTGTTTTAAATATAAAGTGAGATGAAAAGCCATTAAGAGCTATGAAATATCTAGCAGATGAAAGCTATTATCACATGTCAATATGACTGATATATATATATATATACACTATATTGCCAAAAGTATTTGCTCACCTGCCTTGACTCACATATGAGCTTAAGTGACATCCCGTTCCTAATCCATAGGGTTCAATATGACGTCGGTCCACCCTTTGCAGCTAGAACAGCTTCAACTCTTCTGGGAAGGCTGTCCACAAGGTTTAGGAGTGTGTTTATGGGAATTTTTGACCATTCTTCCAGAAGCGCATTTGTGAGGTCGCACACTGATGTTGGACGAGAAGGCCTGGCTCTCAGTCTCCGCTCTAATTCATCCCAAAGGTGTTCTATCGGGTTGAGGTCAGGACTCTGTGCAGGCCAGTCAAGTTCATCCACACCAGACTCTGTCATCCATGTCTTTATGGACCTTGCTTTGTGCACTGGTGCACAGTCATGTTGGAAGAGGAAGGGGCCAGCTCCAAACTGTTCCCACAAAGTTGGGAGCATGGAATTGTCCAAAATGTCTTGGTATGCTGAAGCATTCAGAGTTCCTTTCACTGGAACTAAGGGGCCAAGCCCAGCTCCTGAAAAACAACCTCACACCATAATCCCCCCTCCACCAAACTTTACACTTGGCACAATGCAGTCAGACAAGTACCGTTCTCCTGGCAACCGCCAAACCCAGACCCGTCCATCAGATTGCCAGATGGAGAAGCGCGATTCGTCACTCCAGAGAACGCGTCTCCACTGCTCTAGAGTCCAGTGGCGGCGTGCTTTACACCACCGCATCCGACGCCTTGCATTGCACTTGGTGATGTATGGCTTGGATGCAGCTGCTCGACCATGGAAACCCATTCCATGAAGCTCTCTGCGCACTGTTCTTGAGCTAGTCTGAAGGCCACATGAAGTTTGGAGGTCTGTAGTGATTGACTCTGCAGAAAGTTGGCGACCTCTTCGCACTATGCGCGTCAGCATCCGCTGACCCCGCTCCGTCAGTTTACGTGGCCTACCACTTCGTGGCTGAGTTGCTGTCGTTCCCAAACACTTCCATTTTCTTATAATACAGCTGACAGTTGACTGTGGAATATTTAGGAGCGAGGAAATTTCACGACTGGATTTGTTGCACAGGTGGCATCCTATCACAGTTCCACGCTGGAATTCACTGAGCTCCTGAGAGCGACCCATTCTTTCACAAATGTTTGTAAAAACAGTCTGCATGCCTAGGTGCTTGAATTTATACACCTGTGGCCATGGAAGTGATTGGAACACCTGATTCCAATAATTTGGATGGGTGAGCAAATACTTTTGGCAATATAGTGTATATATATATATATATATATATATTGTAGGAAATTTTTTGATGAGGTGGAATGTAACGAATGGCCTGCTATTGCTCAGCTTTTCAATAAGCCTCCTCAACCTCGACCACAACTAATCACATCACCTCCAGCTGCTGCATGTTCAGAACCCCTTTGAACAGTTTTACCCATATCTCTGGATTCCACTTCTCCCTAATACTGTGCACTGCCTCCTGAACTGACCACCCCCACCAAATGCAGGCAATGCAGCCAGAGGAAGACTGTTACAGCCTCTCTAGCAGGTGAGCCTGACGCCAGCACCTCCTCTCCAGTGGGTCAGCATGATGCTGCAACATCCTCCCCGATGGGTCAGACTGAAGCCACCACTCCCCCTCCGAAGGGTAAGCCTGCTGCTAGCCTTACACTGTAACCAAGCCAGGTCAGTTTCCTCTGTAGTCCCAGATGCCACCTTCATGACTCCCAGCTGTCCCCACCTCTAAGGACCATTAAACATTCTATCAGCCTCACACAATCTCATATATTAAAATCAGATCACCCACAACTTAAAATATCAGAACTTTTTGAATATTTCTATTGGGAGAATTAGGACTTTTTTCAATTCCTTCCACCTCCATCAGCTCCCTGCCAGCCAGCCTATCCCAAGCCAGAGCCCCTTAGCGGGCCAGTCCCTGAGCCTGAGCCTATTAGCATGCCAGTCCCCGAGACAGAGCCCAATATCCATATCAGCTGATTACCCCAGTCTTTGTTCTGTCTAGTTTCGTGCCGGTACGCTTACAATGTAATGCAATGCAGACGTGCACAGCGCCCCCTACCAAACAAGATGGGTAGCCCGGTCAGCAAGGACCTGAGGAAGAGCGGCTGCTGACGTTACTCTGCTGCTGGACAGTACTTTGCTGGCAGACCACGAAAACGAAAAAGCAATGTCTGCTGTGTTTTCTCTTTGATTATGGCATAAATTGTGCAGTCCTAAAGAAGAAAAGGCAAATGCAATTAGGATGATTGATTACTAATTTTATTTATGAGTCAAGTAATGCAGCCACATTCTTACATTTCAAATGTAATTTTGGTATGTACTATTTGCCGGGGTAAATTTTGAAAAATAAACCTCAAATGTCTGTTGTCTTTTTAATTTTAATTAAGTAAAATGATGAGCAGTGTTAAAGAAGAAAATTATTTATTACTAATTTCATTTATGAGTCAAAAAGCCACATTCTTAAAATGAAAAAGCATTTCTTTTTTTTTTTTTATTTAAGTAGAGCAGAAAAACAGAAGAAGAAGAAGGAAAAAGAAAAAGAAAAAAAAGGACAAAAGATGAAAGAAAGAGGAGATAGGAAGGAGACAATGACAAAACATTTTCAGTCTGCTTCATCACCTGCAATGAGATGGAAACAAAGAACAGCACAACCAAAAGACATGGTACGAGATATACAATAAAACAAACACCTTGAAACTATCGCTTAAGTAATATTAAGTCTGACATGTACTCTGTGTTACCTGAAGATATGAATGTGGGGTTTCTGTTTGGAAGTGAATCTCTAAGTACCTGAAGCCTAGCACCCGTAGTTGTTTGTGAGGGTGAACTTGTGCATGTAAAGTTTTAACCATAGAAAAAAAAAATGCTCAATACTGGTTGTGGAGAGCCGGAGAGGCACACCCCCCAGAGCACTGAGTCCAGCCCTGGGAGTCCCAAAGCCCCAGGCGCCCAAAGGGACCCCAGAAGCGAAGGCACCAAGGCGGGGCAAGCCCCGGAAATCAGACCCCCACCAAGGGAGGAGGAGAGACAGCCACGAAGAAGCCCCCCAGCCACCGCCATGCCGGCGCCCCGGGGAGCCGCGGGGACGAGTCCGCGGGCCCCGCCGGCAGCCGGCCACCCCGAAGTAGGGCCGGGCACCAAACACCAGCCCCCCCACGGCACCGACCGAAATGCCCCAGCCCTACAGAGCACCGAAACACGCCCCGCCCCCCGGCACCAAGCCCCGGCGACCGGCCGCAACACCCACCGCGACCGCACCACCCAGGAAAAACACTCAGGCGGCCCCGCCCCCGGCCGGGGCCCACGCGCATCCACCGCGAACCGGCCGCGAGCGCCGCGGGACCCCCCCAAAACGCCCCCCCGGCCAAAAGCGCAGCCCCACCCCACCAAGACCGATGCCAACAGCGCGCAAAGAAACACACCGCGCACAGAATCAGCCCGAGAGCAGAAAAGCCGCCCGGCGCAAAACCGCAAGAAGAGCAGACCGCAGCCGGTGCAACCACCCCCCCCCAGCAGCCCGAGGGGCAGCACAAAGCCAGAGCGGAGCGAACCACGCCGCCCCCCCACCGGAAGAAGCCAAAGCAGCACAGCCATGTCCGCACCCCCCCCCCCCCCAAACCCCCCCACACCGCCCGCACCAGGCCCTGACACGCGGCCAGAGCAGCTCCGCCACCCAGGCCCCCCAACACGCGCCGGCCAGAGCCACTCCAAGAGAGCCACTCCAAGCCCCCACCCGCCCCGCAGCCCCACCCGCCGCGATCAGCGGGAACAGAGCAGCTCCGCCATGCCTCCAAGAGGGAAAACCCACCTGAATACCCAGCCAGCGCAGCCAGCCCGCCCACACCGGCCCCCCAACACCACCCCCGCCGGAGCCCCACACACCAGCGGCGCGCCGCCAGCAGGACCCCCACCCAGCAGGCCCGCTGCGACAGCGGACACCAGACACCGACCTGCCCGCAACCGCTCCCCTCCACCGAAGAAGAGAACCGGCCAGGAACCGGCATCGTAGCGAAGGCACCGGCACCGACACCGAAAATCCCCGAACAACAGCCAGCCCCACCCCGAAGCGGATCCAGTCTCAGTCCCCAGGGATCCGAGGCCCCAAGGGCACCCGATCCCCAGACAGGAGCCCCAGCAAAGCCCCAGCCGGCCGGGGCCAGCGGGGCTGGCCCCGGCCAGCCCCAACCTTGGAGAAAAAAAACAAAAAAACAAAAAGAACACACC